ACGAATGAGTAGATCTCTGACGAAAGGAATAAAAAAATCGAAAGGTGAACTACAACAATACAAAACACACACGTTTCGGCTTAGTTAACACTCGATAATATATATTATTTAATTGAAGTTACAGATAAATGTGATACAGATTGTTCATTGTGGAGGACCATGTGTTATAAAAAATGTTTAATACACCGGTCCGATCATTGTCGGTATTATTTTTCAATATGGCTCGGAAATGGTTCAGGACTACGCGATGTATTTATTTGTCTATTTCATAAAAATCGCTATTTTGCACATTTTAGAGTAAAATAATAACATTGCAACTCATCAATGAAAACAGTTTGTTCCAATCGCTCATTGTGTGTACTTTACATTGATGACCACACTCGGACAGGTAGGTAGTTTACACGATAACCGTCTGGACTTCGGGTCGCACCCTAAAGATTGGAAAATGTTTCACGGAAACTTCAATGAGACCGCCAATTCACACTTACAAAACTCCAAAAAAAAGCCAGGCAAAAAATGCGTCGTATGAGATAAAAACACACTTCTAAATTGAAAAAATAAAATAGGCGTTTCTTATAGAGATCATTGCTATTCAAGGCTGTTCATGTTTAGAGATGTTGTGGGCGAAAAATCATTTCGGAGTTCATTGTCCTCGTGTGTATTGTTTAAGAGACCAAATTTAAAACGAAATATATTTTACGGACCATCAAAGGTTAGATTTTGCATAATACAGCAAGATGAAATAACATATACCCACGACATAAGTCATTTATTTACAGCCAATACAATAATGAAGCAGACATATAAAAATCGCAGCAACATCACCAATAGCGACATTCTCAACGATAAAAACAAAATCTCTGCAATATTTATGTTAATACTTTTTTACAAAGTTACGATAAAAAAAGATATAGTAATTTATAAATGCAGATAATTATATTTTTGCGGATATTGAGCATTTAAATTTATTCTACTTCGTAAAAGAAAAGAGATGATCAAGAACAAGAAAACTGTTAGAATATAAAACTAGTCTTTTTATATGTACCTTTAATTTACATCAGATGTCCGGTAGGGCAATGGCTAATTTATCTTTTTATTTCACTTTAAACTTGAGTAGTTCTCATTTAATAATTTATTAAAGGAAAAAAATTATTTAACTTAAAATAAAATGGTTTTAAATTTACTGAGTAAAAGTAATTACACTACCGATATCGATTTCGATCTTCTTAGAAAGAAAAAAAATCATTTATAGCGCTGTGGTAGTCAAAACTTGAATTAATTTATCAAATTAAAATAACTGTTATAAACAAATTTTCAATAAATTTTACCACCATTCGTGTAGCAGTAAAAATACTTTTTTTGGAGTTAATGGCCTTCGAAATTGTCTATATTCTAGGGTTCAGTAATTTTTTTGATTATTCGTTTATTTTTTATCAAAGTTTAAAGTAAATACATTTTAACATCTATTAAGGAAGAATAAAATGATAATTTGAATATTTTATTAAGTTCAAAGAAACTCTCAGCAACTCCTCAAGTATAAAGTAGCTAAATTCATGCAGCTAAAACTTGATACATTTAAGAAAAGCAAAAAAAAGTTATTGAAAAAGAACTTAGCTATGTAATTTATTAGTAGCGCAGAACCTCCAAGTAAGGTTTGTAGTAGAATGCAAGTGTAGTAAATGGTTTTGAGTAATAACTGCATTTTAAATAAAAAAATCGTGGCGAAAGGCGTTCAACATTACTAAATGTAGTTTACACGAAAGTCAGTACAGTTAATGTGTACTTGATATAGTTATGAATTAGCACATTGTTTCGTAATTAGTCAGCATTCAAATTTTGACTCATATTTTAGCTATTTCCGTATTCCTATTGCTATACTCTATTGTAATATTTAAACAGTTTTTTTCCTCGTATAGGTTATATTGCAATCTGGTATCTGAATTTTATAATACATCATGTGTTCTAGTCATTTTTCTAATAAGGCTCTTGTATTAATTATATTTGTCAGTAAAAAATTGAGTCAATTCTTTAGAACAATCTATTCATAATCACATAAGCCATCCATCATTCGTATAACCAGAGGATTGCTCAGTTAATTAAGAACCTTTTTCGACCTCAAACATTTGTTTGCGAGGGAATAATGTTGCATTTTTTTTTTTACTTAGGCTGATAAATAATAAAATAAAAATATTTTTCATAACGATATTTGGTTGAGAGGGTTATTTGTATTTTTGGCATAATATTTATAGCTCAATGATTATATATTTTGTTATCTATAGAATTCGTGTGTCAAAAAAATATTTTAAGGTCAATATTTAGTTTTTATTACTAATACGTCATGAATTCCGCATAATTAGTGCTCATAGTTAACAGTGTGGGACAAAGACGCAAGACGAAGAGTGTGTGTGATTGAGAACATCATAATATTGTATAATAGTAAACGCAACTAAGACGTAAATGAGTACATTAGTGTGTTAAAGTTCAAAAAAAAAAAAAAAACTGATAAATAAATTTATAATATGTCATTTGTTATATAGTATTTTATTTATAAATCTATCAAGTAAGAAATCTTTTTATACACCAACAATGAACAAAGAAATGAAATATGAGAAAAATCAAATGCTCATCTATTATGTGATTATTTTTTCTTAATACCGTTTAAAATAAAACCATTGAATAGAATTGAGAATGGTCAAGGAATCTCACTAAGTGGTGTCGTAGTTTTACAAACACTTTATTACAAATCTATCTCAGTATTAATACCGGACCCCTATCGTGAAAAAACTACCCTCAGGTCGCTTCCCATAACAAACGCTCGATGTCACAGTCACACACTAATATCATTGATTATATACCGTTATGTGTCCGGAGGACGCGGTCATCGGTATGTCCTTCGGAGATCGGTTGCTATAAAAAAAAAAAATGTATGTATAAATAAAAATAACAAACCGACTAATATAGGTCATTTGGACTCTTCCCCTCTCTCTGGGAAACCGGTTGCGCCCGCCCAACTTGGAAAATATAAATACATCAGGTGCAGCTTGTGCTTGGACTTCGGTGACACACCGTACCGGTGATGGACGGGGGATATAATTGCCAAGTCCGTTAGTTACTGCGTTATGAATCGAAAGGAGGGAGGGCCTTAGTTATAAATAATAAGAGGGTAGGGGTAAATTTACCGTTACCCGGTCACTTGCTTTTCCGCTACATCGCTGCTAACAGTGTTTGTGATAATAATATTATAGAAAAAATAAAGTACATGTGGGCGTGTACCGTTAGTCGGTTACGTTAGTTCAGTATTATAGTCATGGTCGTTGAAAAAGAGTTTAGATGGCATAAGAATGAATGCAATAGGAAGAGAGAGAGAAAATATAACTTTTGGTAATAATAAGTTGTAATAGTAATGGTTGTTTAGTAACGAAATAACATCACTTGACTGGTTGTGCTCTACTTATTACTTATTTTAAACGGTATCTAATTTTAGGTGAGTTTTTTTAAAAATAATATGATACAAACCAGTCGAAAACGTTATGTCATAAACCATAATACGTTGCCATATAACATAAAGAGTTTAAGAGGCATGTGTGTAATATATTCGGGCAAGGTGAATAAACTATACATTGTTATATCGATCCGTCTCATTAAAAATACCCTGCAAAAAATTACCATGGTCGTTTTTGGTATTACGAGATTACCGAAGATGAGCATTGTTAAAAAGGATCGATAGACGAGAGTAGATGATGGTCATCAACGTTAAATAACTTTTCTGGATAATGTTACGCGCTGGAACCGGTTTTTGTATAATGATCGACCCAACCTGCAAGTGGTTTTGGATACAGCCCCGAAAAATCAGAGGTCAAGGTCCCGAAAAAGCCACTCTGATGACCATAAAACAAAAGCTATAAACCCTCCTTCCTCTTCGTCTTTATAGCTAACCACTGAGAGCTTAGGAAGAAGTATTTTTGGCTTCAACTGCATGCTTATTATACCGAATATCGAGGAAGGTTTTTAACTCCTTATACCATAAATAAATTAATACAGTTATAAAAACATTGGATCACATCAAGTAAAAAAAATATTAGTGAAATACAAAAACAAGTCTTAACTTTAATAACCACTTTCATTATTTTGAATTTTATATGAAAGGAGACGATGAAAAAGTAATTTTATTTATTTTATGTGCAATCCAAAAATAAAAACACGTTCAAATGACACTCGTTAGGCTAAAGTCTTAATATAATTTACATAGAGGTTTCATCTTTTTAGTAGCATAACTAAACATTATTTTTAAGTGATGCTCTCTGTTCTTTAAATGAAAAAATGACATCGTCGCTGTATAACTTTTTATCTAAGAAATATGTCATTTTCCCAACCTCATAGATATGCAATTGCATCTTTAGTGTATTTGTTAACTTTATTGGGTCTGTCATGATAAAATCAACTACAGTATCATATTACATAACAATATGCTAAAACACCAAAGTATAATATTTAAATTTTAACTGTATTAAATTTAAAAAATAGGTACCACGAAGTTGCGCATTTAAAAAAGTTCATTAGCAAATAAAGTTGAAGTTTCCAGTAATCTCAAAAAAATATAATAATTTTAAAAATATCAAAATCAAAGCATTTTAAAAATCTTTAACTCTTTTTAATTTTTTTTTAAAAATCATATCACTATATATATACATATCAGAGGCGTAATTGAAGGGATAAGGATAATATATTCTCTAATAAACTATTTTATTATTAAGCTGAAATTTTAAAGTTTAGGGGGGTATTGTAAAATATTCTTAATTATATGCCCTTTCAAAAATAAACATTAAATATGTCAGTGCTATTTTTGTTAACATGCTCTAAACAAAAAAAAACCAAATCCATTATTTCATGTGTAGTAGGTCATTTATTTTTTTCTTTAACCATTTCGTACACGATAAATCATTTTATATTTTTAAATATACTTCTATGTGTAGAATTTAATTTAAAAAAATTTGACTACAGTTGAATAAAACAAATTTTATATTACATATTTACAAATAATTTTCTTTATTTCTATAACCTTTACAAACGTTATTGGATTTTATCAAACAACTGAAAAATGTAGACTATAATGTTTTTATGCAATCAAATTATCTTTGAGTTTTGACAGCAAAATGCTAAAATTTTACCGACTTTAAATAATAAATTGTCCGCTGATAACCTAATTAAAGTTTATCCAGTATTTATTATTACTCATTTCAAATGCTTTAATTACATTAAAGTCTAAAGGTTCGACAAATTGTTTTATATAATGAAAATAATCTATTAGTAAATTTGAACATTTGTCAATATTCAAATCGTTAATTTTTTCATGTAAATGTTCTTTTAGATTTTTATTATTTTCGAATGCTTTATACGTGTTGAGTAATTTTTGAAGTTCTAATAACACTTGATCGTTAAATTTATTTATTACATTTTGTTCAACTTTAATTTTTCTATTGAAGAAACTGGTAAAGTTCGAATATAAATTTTCATAGTTAATGTTAAAAAATTTAATTATACTTTGAATTTCTTCTAAAGGACATTCTAAAACCCAATCGAAGTTAATTACATCAATTATTCGGGATTTCTTCGCTTTTTTAGTGGTTATTAGATACCACGAATATAATAGAACAATTTTCATGGCATCGCTTATAATTTTATAGTAATTCACAATTGAAAATGGAACATTATTCCACATAGTTTCAAAATTTTTGTTTATATAATCTAAATCCCTTCTTAAAAAATTCCAGTTAAAAGATTCGATACCAGGCAGAATATTTAAGGTATTTGCCTTTTTGGTCCAAAATGCATCATATATTCCTAACATATTTTCGTATTTAAATAATTGCAAAAAATTTTTTTTACTCTCCGATATCAACTTTAATTTCTTAAGTAGAGAAATCGATGAGATATCGTTTTTATTTTTATATTTTTCATCGATATCAAATACCTTAATATCGCTGAGCTTAAGGTTTTCTAAATAATTGTCCTTAGAACACTTGTCTATCATTTTGTCAGCATATCTAAAATAATTTTGGATTTTTTTCTGATTTATTTTATTTTTATCTATTGAATTGAGATAAAGATATATCATCCACATCCAATTAGACACTGTGCTTTGACTCATTATCATTACAGATATCATTCGACCTATAGCATCTACATACACTTTTAAATGTTCATGATTTAAATTTAAAAATGTATAGTCTTCTTCTGATTCTTTCATTGTATTTATTATGTATATTTGATTAGGGCTCATAAGTTCCGTTATTTCTTTAATATCGTTCGTAAACGTTCCTCTGCTTTCATCCGTTAAATCAAATTTTTCTTTTTTTAACACTTCGCTTATATCGATATCGTATTCTCCATTTAAAAATAGCAATTCAGATTTTTTGCTAAATTTAACTTGTTTTAATTTTTCCTGAGAACTTGTAACTACAGAATGCAGATCCCATAAAATGTGTTTTATCGCATAACCATAAATACATCTTAAGGAGATAAGTTTTTTTTTGTACTTATCACTTAGTAGGGCATTTGTATTGTACAACGATAATTGTTCTAGTTCATATTCTGAAAAATTGATTTTTTCTGACTCCCACGTCGGTATATCATTCAATAGTTTTATAAATATTTCATTGTCTTTCTACAAATAGTAAAAAGTGTATTAATAATTTATATTGCAAATCATACACGTGGTTCAATTAAATATATAAATTTCCAAGTATTATTTTTATGACATTTATTTAAAAAATTAACAAATTATTTGTCTAGGGTCTGATAATGGTTTCTATTGTAAATATATTTAAAAATCTGTTAATTTTGTCCTACAAATTTTACATTAAATTAATTTATAAACTCGTGTATAATTGTCAAAAAAATGAATTGTAATAACTATTTTAAATTTGTAATACTGAGTACCTAAAGGTAAAGATACTTAGGCGGCACCTTGTATGAAAAGGGATTGGTTTTTATTGATTTTTTGAAAAATACTTTTGATACATCGATTTATTGTTATTTTATTTCTGTTAGTCTTTATTGCGTATCAAATACGCTTTACAGAATTTGTCAACACTCCTTTTTTGAATATGTATGCAATCAAAAAAATAAACTTTATTCACGTGATTAATAAAACAGTATATTTCTTTAAATACAGACGTTACTACTGAAGCTAAATTTAGTAATTAATATATTTTTTAAATTAAATCATCTTGTTTTGTTGGCATTCAAATTGTTTTTCGATCATAAGTATTTAAACTACCATAATTAAAACAGTTTATGATAGATCATTAATCCAGATCCTAGTATAATACTCTTAGTAGTTAATTTGCTACTTTAATATCGTAATAACAATAATCAAATTCAGCATGTTATGCAACACTGGGAACAATAAACATAATAGTGTTACTTTTGTAATATTTATATACGTTTTTTAAAATTAAAAATTCTAGTCAATTTTTAAAATTTTATTTACTATAAAATACATTTTATGGACATTAAGAAGCTCTTTATATACATATAAAGTTTTTTTTTTAAATTTAAGAAGTGGTGTAAGGGAATATTTTTCTATGGATCTATATATAATATCTACAAAATTAGATTTCATATGACATGATTATCAAGCCGCCCTTTAAACTCAAAAAATTTAAATTTTTTAAAAAAAATATTTTTAAAGTATTAAAAATAATTAATTGGATTAATAATACAAAAAATACATTTGTTATAAAGTTATGTGACATAATTTTCTTTTACTGTAATAATAATATCAATGTGTGTAGTTATATTAATTTTCGTTTTAATTAATCTATTCAATTTACAAATTCATAGGTACTGTTAGGGACATGGGCATTTTGTCACTTAAAAGATATCTAAATCTATAATCATTGATTGTTTGAAACAATATAAAAAAGTAAGTCAAATTTTTTGGGTAAAATAAATTTCATAATAATACCTCTCGTAATGCTATTATTAAAACCGTCTATTAATTTTACAACTTTTTCGAAAGAATTGTTAACAAATTTTAGCTGTTTAATGATTAACTTTGCTTCTTAGTAAGCAATGGTGTTAACGCACCGAGAAAGATGAATGTGTGAAAAAAATTGGATTATAAGTCACTTATCAATAGTTATTTATCAGCTATAAATTTTGTTTTAGTAACATCCCTTAAAAACTTATAGAGTTGTCAACTTTATTTTTTTAAATAGCAATATATTACTAACTAATAAAATAGGAAATAATCTAATTGAAAAATGATTGGTCGATAACAACTATTGGATCAGTATTTCAAAAGTTAACAATTTAAATTATTGAATGGAGTCGAGTAGTGGGTACTGCTATTTTTATCCCTAGCCATTTCCAGGTCGTATTCTTTGTCCCATTTATTTATATAAAATAATAACAGTAATTATAAATTTATTATGATATAAATCAACAACATATTAGTGACACATTGAAGCTTCATATAAACCCAACCAAAATGTGTAATAAATTTTTAATTCAAACAAATGTATAATAATAAAAAAGAAATTGATTATTTTTTTAATACGTTTATTTTGGATATTTTATAAATCTAAACACATCATAATAAAAGTTAGCCTAATCCAATATCATAAATAAATAAACATATACCTGATTAAAATTGAGTTGTAAAGCTCTTACCAAACACATAAAAATTAAAAATAAGGCGAAAATTGGAAAATATTTGTTAGACATTTCAACTAGAAGTTTACAACACTTAATTAATTGATTATGAATTGACGAATAACGATTTTCTGCTTTTATTTACTGTCTGTATTACTAGTTATATTTAAATTAGAGGAATCATATATGATAAAACTCTTTTAGAGATTCTATTTATAAAACTTTTGTCGTTTTTAAGTTCATATATTAAGTACTATTTCAAACAAACTTTTTTTAAAAATGTATAATTAAATATAAAATTGATATTTCGTATAAATAATTTATCTCTGGGTAACTTTTCAAATACTTTTTACTACTTATAAAGTTAATTTACTGCATTTATTAGTGGTTAATGTCAGATATAATACCACGGAAATTAATTGATAATAGTACGAATCAAATTAAATATCAATATACAAACATTATATGTGATTTACATAAAAATGTAATATATAATTTATATCTTACTATTGTTCATTGTACACATAATTTTATTACTTTATACTAATTCTTTTCAATGTAGCTTAAATAAATAATTTCAAAACTTTAAATGTATTTTTTAAATTATAGTATTGTGGCTATTAATATATTTAAAAATAAATTTATAATAAATGTTGAAACATAGTAAAAATAGTATATAATACGAGTTCATAGTTTTAATTTTATGAAGATAAAAAAAAAATCTTGATGACACTAAAAGTTGTAAGATCAACTATCATGACTCCTACGAGGCAATTTATTTGTCTTTGATCGTTATAATTTTTATAATCTAATAATAATTTTGAATTATTTTATTTTATTCTGTTTAGTATTATTTAATTTTCGAGTAATCAACTGTTAAGTACTTTTACGGTTCATCCCTTATACCTTATAAGGGTGTCAACGTTATTTTTTTTAATGACAATATCGATATTTGAATAGATTAAATGTTCCAAAATTATCCAACTATGAAAATGACTAGTCCATAACAACTTTAAAACCGGTATTTCGGAAATTATTAATTTTTTTAAATGAAGAATGAAAGCGAGGTGCGGGTTATATTATTTTTTTCAATAAATATTTTTCAACCGCACTCCTCTTTCTGACAAAATATAGAAGTGCTAATCATTTCCAATATACTAGTCTAAAATTTACTACCGGCCAGTTATTTTTATTATTAGATCATTCTCTATTAAAAAAAACTTATCAATTATATATGATTCCGATTAAAATGTTAAGTTGGTACTCTTATTAAGGGGTAGATATAAAAATATTTAACTACTTATAAATAAAGATTAAGAATAAATATTACTTTAATGAACAAAAAAAAATTATTACTATTAATTTAGAAGAAATCAGTGATCAACGATAAATCAATCAGCCTGTGTAGTAAGTAACTAACCGATGAGAATATGACGGCGTTTATATAATTTTATAACAAGATCATTGTAAAAATACAAATTTAGTTACTTCAATTTGTCGACTATTTATTACTATTTATTAAGAAGAAATTGTTGATCATTGTTACTGAATGAACGGTCGCCTGTTTAGTAAATTGTTCGATATGGCAATAATATTCAGAGTTCGTAGCACTTACTATTAGTACATTATTATGTTGTGCATGACCTAAAACAACAAGACACGACGAAATAAATAATGCCTCATACCGATTGTCTTTACCAACAGCGGCTGCCGTCACTTCATATCCTAAGACGGGTTTTAGAGCGATTAATTTGAAGTGAAGTTTTATTATCAATAGAAGCACTGGCACGGCATCCTCATTGTTCGTTTTTTAATAAACACTCTCGGTGGGGCCACAGGCTTGCATATATTATTTATTTTTGTGTATAAACTCCTTAATAAGACGAGTTTAGACACATCGTTTCACATATTACTTGAAACCACACAGATATAATATGTAACGCTATAGGTATACAACCATTGGAGTTATTTAGGATTTCAGTGTTAACGGTTGTGTAGGTCATGTTATACAACATATACGTAGAAATATAAATCGTTATAAATTGATAATATAATATCTACTAGATAAATATGCTCACTAAACGTTAGATAATTTATCAGTAGGCACATAACAAATTTGTTCAAAGACTGACTCTTGGAACTTTTCACATAAATGTGTGTGGCTGTTAAATGTAAAAATAATAGGCGTACTAAACTTATAAAACACAGACCAACTCGATGGTAATAAAATCGTTTGTATTAACTGTATATATGTTATTACGTGCGATTTAATAACATATTGTTTTTTATCATTATTTTAGCACGGACAGAACTGAATTAAAAATATAGACAAAAACGAAAATAACGGGTTACCAGCACAACATCCGATTTTCTTTGCAAACTCGGCGGAAACGCGGAACCGTATAATTCTTCACGCCGTTTAATCATTACTTGGAAGTTTCTGCGGACTCTATTATTTTCTTAGAAATATTTTCATGATATATAAAAAATATTTTATTTCACGATGTTCTTTAATATACACGCCTGTCTTGTAAGCTACATAATCAACTCGGCAAAGGAAGCAAGTGATAAATGTTTCAATGTATACATTTTTTGTTATGGGAGACTTTAACTCCCAACACGGAACACTGAGAGCAAGGAGTACTTTTTAAAAATACATCCAAACAAAATAACATATTTTGGTATTATTCAATGCGAGTTTGTTCATCGATAACTGATTAAATGAATGAATTTGTACAAAATAACCAGTGTGTTGAATACTACTTGCGTTTAAATGTTCGATACACTGTTGAGTATACGGGCAATACAATTATATGACTGAAAACTCAACAGTTGGGAGTTTAAAGGATATTTTTGCTCCAAATCAAAACTAATTTTCAAGATCAAATAGTACTAATTTCATAACATACTCGACTAGTAATAAAAATAAATCGTAATTACTCATTTGTTATTTAAATGGTATTTAAAAATAATATCATTATAATCGTATGTCCAATCATTGACATTTACCGAATATAAATTCAGACATCAATTTCTACTTATTATGCAAGTACTCTCGTAATAGATGTGATTACTATGCGTGTAGTCTCGGTTAGTGAAGTAAGAAGGTCTACCGACCGATGACGCGGCTAGACCGGAAACTCCACGATCGGCGACCGATGACGACGTCACCGTCAAGGCCCGGTGAAAGGGTTGTCGCCGTGACGTCACGCGGGACACTGTGGTGACGGGATAATACATGCAATGGCACAGCGTAATGCTTGGGCTAGTCAAGCGTGTGCTATACCGCGTTATGTTACATATTTTATCATTGTACGGAGGCCATTATTCCAATTATGTGAGATGACTTCTCGCCGTCGCCACACGCCGAGCCGCGGAAGCGCCGTAAGAAATTATATTAACTCGTACACAATGCGGCAATCAAAACAAAGCGTTAGATAACACATTATTTTCACTGACGTAGCCTACATTGTGTTCTTGTTGTTTTTTTTTTCTTCACCAATAATCACAATCATTATAATAGTAGTAATAATCACAACAACAATAATAATAATAATAATAATAGCCGACAGAACGAAGCGTGCGTCTCACTCTATCTCCCAGTGTGGCGGCAGCGGCCACTATACGAGTTAAATACAATGCGTTTGTATGGAACACGGTGTGCGAGCGTCGAGGATCGGGAAGACGCGTTCGGGCGAGCCGGGTAGGTTGCGGTGGGTGAGAGGCCCGGACGAGGCGGTGAGTGGTCGGGGCACGGTCGGGGGGAACGAGGGGGGTTTACGGGGCACGGTCAATAGCCGCGTTCGACCTACTTCCTTCACAACGCCGCGTCGGGCCGTGGCCGTTTCAAGAACTCTTGGGATGGATTACGTCGCGGCGGCTGTAGAGACGACGGCGGCAGTGACCGGCCCCGAAAACAACAGGAGCCTGACAAAAACGGCGGTCGCGGGAGACGAGCGAACGTAAATTTTCGCATGTTTTCCTCCCGCGTTCGTTACGCTAAAATAATGTAATATATATTGTACACACACACGTAGCCAGTGAACTTCTTTTGGCAGCGACGACTCGACAACTAATACACGAGAGAGAAACGCATCACTTTTCCGAAACGCCTCCCCCTCGGTTGATGTTTTCAAAAGTCTATTGATGATATCATATTTATTAATTGCGATTATAATTGTTATTTATCGCGTGTCTAATAATTACAGCACTAGAAAGAAATCATTTTATTATTACTGGTTATTATCCAATTGTAATACCTTAAAATAATTATTTCTTTAATTACCTTAAAGCAATTAACAGTATATCTACTTACGATTAAACGCGACTAGTTTTCAATATACACGACGTGTGCTACAATTATGCAACGGTCATGCGTAGGCTATTTGTTTTGGCATCCACAGCCATCTGAAGAAGAAAAGTCACTTTTAAAATTATTCCAATAGTGTTAAATTTTAAAATTAAAAATAAAAATCTACGAATTTAAATAAACTCCAGTAAATTTATTCATTTTTTGGTTTATCCGGTTTGGCTTAACGCGCCTATAAAACATAATTGTCGAATAGAGATCAAAATGAGATAATACATAAATAAGCATTCATAATTTAGGTACGAAGAAGCGACAACGGCGCGGCACAGTAATTGTATTCGCTTTTTTTGCATTAATACGATACCTGATTTATCTCGTAAGTCTTAAAGAAAAAACTTTGTGACCCCTGAGCGCGTATTATTATCTACATTTTCTATTTTTGTGTGCAACAAACACACAATCTAACATAAACACCTATTGTGAAAAGTCAATAGTGTAAAAAGTGCGAGAAAACGTACGTCAAGTATTGCTCAACGTGTCATCCTTTGGACCGTTGACCCGACGGCGATCGTTGCGCGTCTACTGAGATCAAAGAAGTTTTTCGGAATTTATCAAGAGATACCTACAGTTTTTATCGATCAGGTACGCGTTTTGGCCATACATTGGTATCCGGAAATACACAACGGCTTTTATCAAAGGCCAGCAAACATCATGATTGACACCAACTCGCCTAAACTAAGGATATAAAAAAAATTCAATATTAAATGCGTTTGCTGCAACGCTTTCACATTTAAGGGATTCAAAATTCTGTGTACGTTTCGGTAAAGTCGTTTGAATTGATTTGATGTGCAAAC